TATGTAATAATGTACTTGATATTTGAAACATTGTTATATACGTTTTTATCATTTCCATAATGCTTTGTTTATAATATTAATTATATAAGGTATTAGTCTATTTTTCATTTTAATTAATAATATAATTATAATGTAGAGCAATGTACTATATAAAAAAAAGGTTTGTATTTATTTAATGTGCATATATTTTTTATGTATATGTTTTTTAATATAGAAGTATATAAATTTAAATACATAAACTTTTTATTTATATATATATGTTTTTACATACATAAAAAAAATTGTGACAAATTTGAATAAGTATATATTCTTATTCTGTTATTCTATATAAAAAATGTTCTAATTTTTATATAAATTTGTACATTCTAAAGGATCATGATATATATGTTAAATTTTAATATCTTAAAATATTTCAATATTTCTTTTCCGATATAAGTAGATGTATAAGCACGATCATGTACAAAGTACTATGATTATTAAAAAAAGGTATAATTAATAATATATTTCATATATTATTATACCTTATTATGAATAAACGTTATAATTTAATATTTATTGATATGTATATAACATTATTCATATTTCCATTTCAAAGTTAATATGTATAAAATCTTCTTTCAAAAAGGACCATTAGTTCATATATAAATGAAAATGCATCTGGGATAAACCTTTATATAATGAATTACAACTTATATATTAATTCCAATATGTAGAATCAATTTATATTCAAATTTTTTTTTTAAACATTATGTATAATATTTTTTTTTCGTGTCTTCATAAATATATATAATTATTATACTTTTTTACATTTTGTATATTATAATAAGAAAAATAATATATAATTAATGCAACATTTTTGATCATTGTATTCATAATTTTAAATTCTATAATTTATTTAATACAATATAAATACTCTAAATATTTGTATTTTTGCATTGTAAATCCTGTTTATATTTGTAATTTTTTTTATATAAATTAATATAATTAAATTACTAATTCATAATTTACACTATTTAGTATAACTTATTCATGAAAAAAAAAAAAAAAAAAAGGAATTGCAATAAATTTTATTATGTGATATTAAAAAAAGCAATATTACTGCATGAATTGTGTAATTTTTATTATATACTTGTACACGATATTTATGTTTAAATTAATATTTAATAGGAACCTATAATATATAGAATAAATATGTAAACATATAATCATACTTTCATACTTTTCAATTCTTATAAAATCATTTTTACTATTATAAATAATTATACTGCATGGTATATGTTATTAAAGATATTAAATTAACGCTTATATGTACTGCAACCAGATTTCATTGGATAGAATTTAATGAAATCTTTGCAATTTATTAGTATTCATAAATATTATATTATTTGAAATATATATTTATATATATATTTATTAAAAAATTAATTTTCATTAAATAATACATTAGTACGTATCATTTTTATGGATAATATATATCATGAATTATAATAAAGATTATATAAATATGTACTTATTTCTCTCAATGATTCAATTAATTAAAATATATTTTCCTACAACATTATGATTATAATGATTAAGTAGCTTATGCATATCTATATAATACAACATTAACATAAATATGAAGTGAAAATGATAAAATTTAGAAAGATAATCTAAAATAATTTCATAAAAATATATATTAATACAGATGTAATATCTAATAAATTACAAGATTATGCTTTAAAATTTGTAATAGAAATTTACGATACAAATAATATTTAATTTTATGTGATGTTAAATATATCTAATTAAAGTAATATTATTATTAAGCTAGTTTTTATTTTTTATGTATACAATGTTAAATGATGTAAGTAGTGAAACGTAAATTTTATATGCTTATATTATGATAAATAATGCCTTATTTTCTTGATGGATTATTTTAGCAATATATCAATAATATTACTTATTTAACATTTACATTGATATGTATATATTCTATAATTTATATGTTTTTTATTAGTATTTGGATTACGAAGCTTAAGCATTATTCAGGGCGAAAATCCCTAGTTTTCGAGATTATCAATGTAGTGATGTAGATATTGATGAATTCTTGACTACCAAAAATATTGAAAGAAAAATAAAACAAAGTGTTTCTTCTTATTGTAAGATTATAAAAAAATATATTGACAATGTTAAGGCGAAAAATTTAAATGATATCTATAAATGTGGCAATTTTATTAAATACTGGATAAAAGCAAAAATTGAAGAAGAACATAATAATGAATCTGAAAATATATTTAATTATTTGAATGAATATGTTAATCCTCTTAAGTCTCATCTAAGTGTAAAGGAATGTACTTTTAAATTTGAACATGATGATGATAAAATATATGAAAAAATAAAAAATCTTTATAATATATATAATATATATTATTATATAAATCATATTATGCCATATAATTTGTAGGATGTTAATTTATGTTCTAATATTGATAGATTAATTGAAAAATATAATGCTCTCATAACGAATCCTAATTATTCCAAGGATATTGCTTTGATTACTAAATTATATCATATTAGATGTCTAGTTGAAAGTAATAAATAGATATACAATAAAAGCTGCTTAATAGATTTTAAGGATAGATTAGGTGCTCATAAATCCAACGCTTATATATGTTCTTGCGAGTTAAATGTTTCATCAGAAAAAGAGCATGAAGAACCGACGGATTTAGAAATACAAGATGGTCAAGGGACACATTCAGAAATACAATATGATGAAGTAACGCGTTTAGAAAAGGATTTTGTTAAAATTTTTGATAGAAGAAATAACAATAAAAATATTATAATAACAACAGTTCTTGTTACAATATTAATAGGAAAATTTTTTTTATATGTTTATAAGGTTAGTAATAATTTATGTTTGAGATAAATATGTATTATGCTTATTTTTTTATTACACTTGAACAAAAATTATTCCATAAATTATGTATTCTTATGAATCCATTAATATTTCATTTCTATTATTAGTTTAGAGAATATTGGAAGAAATTACGTTTTATTAAGCAAAGAAAGATAATAAAGGCAATGAATATGGATGAGAAACTATGCGATTATATAACATACAAATATGAAAGACATAATGGGGATCCTGATGAAGAGAAGTATAACATAATTTATACTTCTGGTAGATAATCATAAAATTCCTATGTAAAAATATAACATTTGAACTTGCTGTATTTAAATTTGTAGTAACTAGTTATACGCATAAATAATTATTAATAATGTAGGGATATATATATGTTAGTTATACTTATAATAAAAATATATTTTCTTTTTATACATTTTTTAAATACATATAGTATATTAGTAAAATAATATTAAAAAATTATCGCAAAAAAATAATATACGAAAACAGAAAATATATAATTATAGATAAAAACCATGTAACAGATAGTGCATCTTATATTAAATATAAACAAAAAATAGGAAATTATATATATTCTATAATTTATGCACATATATATTGTCCACTATGTGAATATTCTAATTACATACAATTGTTTTTGGTAATAATATATGAAAATGATGAAGTATATAGTTGGAAAAAATTATAATGGTACAAGTAATATTAGAACGTTAAGCTATGCTTAAAATAAGATATGTAAAAAGTATATCGTCATTAGATGTAAATTATAAACATTATAAATTTTTAATAATATGAATGGTTACGTAATGTAAACTAAAAAAGCGTGATTATTCAAAAAACTCATATAATTTGTAAAAAATTCGATTATAAATTTGAATTTTGCATATTTTTTAAAAATTTATTTATTATTAAAATTTTTTTATTTCTACTCATTAAGAAAAAAAATATATTATTTTAAAATATATAATACATTTTTCATTAAAAAGTTATATTCCTTACGAAATTATATTATTATAATATATAGACAATAATATAAAATTTGCGAAAAAAACTATTTATATTAAAAATGATAGTTTTATGACTAGCATTGCTTATTTTCTAACTAAGTTTACATTTATAATTTATTCTCATGTAAGAATATATTCTTTTCTTAGTTTCACAAATAATTCACATAATAGTACATTATTCATAAAAGGAATGTATCATAACATATTTTATTACATATAATTGTTCTCCTGTTTTATATAATTGTATAATGAAAATCTTTAAATTATATTTATATAATGTTATTAGTTTTTGTAGGGTTCATTTTCGCGTATATAAATAATATATATATTTTTTCTATTATTTCTTATATTTTAATTAATATATATTTTTTTTAAAAAAATAATATTTTGTTATTCTTGGTGTAGTAACTACGTAAAATTACAGCACATGTCTTTACTTATACATATATTCGTTAAAACCCTGCGTATAAAACATTATATTACTTATATAGTACTTATGTTTTTATTCCTATATCTTATCATTATTTCAAAAAATATATAATGTTATATTTTATTAATTGCTCGTAATGTACGATAATGCTAATGATAAAATAGGGATAATATCAATATTAGGTAAGACTAAAAATAAGTAAATATATAATAAATAAAATATAAATAAATGGAGAAATAATAATTAACAAAATATCACATAATATAATGCATTATTAAAAAATATATAATATTTTAACTTATTTTTTCATCACTTAATTAATATAAAATATTTATTATATTAATATTAATCAAAAAATTGTAAATAATATTATGAGATGTATATTATATATTATAAAAATAAGAATAAAGCAATAAAATATTATTACATTACTCAATACACGCGTTTATTTTTTTATTTTCCCATATTTAATTATGTTATTTCGTAAATTCATATAACAAAATATTACACTATACTTCATATAGTATATGCGTAATAAAATATCATAATAAATTATATTTAACACATTATAATGTTAAATATGGATTATTTAGAAAAAGAGATTAAAACATATATAGTACTTGTGGTACAAATATACAAGCTTAATAATATACATATGAATAATAAACTAAAGGAACAAATTAACATTTAGTATACTTCAAAATTATATGCTATATAGTTTAATTCTTTTTTAAATATTAACAACTTTATTATAAAAAAATATAAAATAAACATGTAATATTAGCATACCTAATAAGAAATCAATTTTATGAATTTACTAAGAAATATGTAAGTAATTGAAATGGGATATGCGCTTTTATATATTAAAAAGCTAAATATATAAATATATTATTAATTATTCTACCAAAGTAATCCGGTTAATTTTAATGATAACTTTATATTCATAATACACTTAAGCATAAATATTTTATTTTAAAGAAAAAATCAAATATATAATTTCCCATTATATATAAAGGATGCAGTGAATATACAAAATTAATGTACATTAAAATTGTTAAAATATATGATATATATCTATATATAAAAAATTATTTGATGCGATGTAAAAAAGAAATGTAATTAAATATGTTGTACAAAATATAAAAAAATTGCATATTAATATTTACTAATTCACAAGATTAAAATAAGATGTAAATTATTTTAAATTAATAATTTACTATAAATTATGGAATATTATTGTTATGCTAATATAATATATTCTTACCCCTTTTATTACAAATTTAATGATTTAGAGAATCATCCATCTTTTTCTAAATTTTTCCATGTATATGACTTAAGTTGCATATGTAATAATAGTAAAATAATTTGTAAAAAATATTAAATGTTCCTTAAGTAAAAATATATATTAATTGACATATTGAATTTAGCATTCATTTTAATTTAATAAGAGAGAATAAATAAGTACACTATTTTGGTACTTAACTATAATATTACTTAATTCTACGTGGTCTCCTTAATTGTTTTAACAATTAAAATCAAAAATTTAATATGATTAATTTTATTTGAGATAATCGTATAATATTTTTAATCACAACAAGTTTAATTATACATATTAACATTTCAACGCGGTATCACTTATTTTGTATATTCGTTGTAACTCTTACGAAATTACTAATTTTTTTATATTTATGCATGTAGGTTAGCGTATCAATTTAATTTAGATATTTAAATCATTTATGATTAATATTCTATATACATTTAATATAATACTAACCGTAAAATGTGTGTTCCTTGGCAACAATATAATTTTTCATGTTTGTTATGTAAAATCATATTTCCTATTATACGGAAAATATATTTATATATATTCTATATTTAAAAATATTGACAAAATTTGCTGGGTCCTTTTAATGTAACGCATCAACGCATTGTCATCTGTGAACGTAATTTTTCTATTTTATTACATTGAACATATGTGTTCATTTTATTTAATTTCATTCTCAATTTTTTTTTTAATTAATAGCAGAATTTGAACGATATAATTAATATATAATTCCCTTATTCATCTTTTTAATTACAAGTGCATCATGGTATCTCCTAGATAATTTCCATTTGAAATTTTTTTATTATGCTCTTTAAAATGATATAAAGTTTTAAAAGAATTTATTGCAGAATGTAAATCATTAAATTATTCAAAGGTTAAGAAAAGCAATATTAAAAATATAGTGCTCAAAATGCAAAAAAATATTTAAAAAGCAAATAAGTTCCTTAGATAAAGGAAATAATGATTTAGTTAAGTAAACACCTTTGAATTGTTGGGGGTATAAATGGTAAAATGTAATTTATGGTTCTAATAATACTGTAAATATCACACTTGCTTTTTGTGAACATCGTTTGTTGTGGAATATTCTTGTTGAAGACAACAGGAATGAGCATTTTTGCAATACATGTAATTCAATATCTCATATAGTTCCTGAAATTATTCAGAAAAGTATATAAGAATTATATCATTACTGTGTTGATTTTTTTATTACATTAAAAATATATATAATACTTACTTTTAAATATGCATGAAATATTATATGTATATTCAAAACAATGTAGAATTACACAAATGTTTTAAAAGGAAATATATATTATCTTATAAAAAAAAAATCCCAAATTTTATAATTAATGTAAAGAATAACATGCAAAAGAAATTGAGTGGTACTGAATACCATGCAAGGGAGTTAGCTGTATAATATGCAGTAAAAAAGTCTCTTTAACACAAGAAGATCAAATAATAGCAAAAAATGATAATGAATTACAACGAAAAGTCTTATTAATAGTCTGTATATTAATTAGGAGTTTACAAGAGGGATATTGATTAATTTTATAGAATCATTATTGAAGTGCCATGTCACTTAACCTTCAATAACATTTTAATAATAACTTTTCGTATATGTTGGAATATATATATTTCTAATGATTTATATGAAAGAAAATCTAGTTTTCATATTTCGTTAGAATTTATTGATTTTTTATTATTTACGTTAGTAATTTACTTATAAATAATATATAATTTATTATGTGTTTCTTGCATAATCATTATATATGAAAATATACACACATATATATCCTGTTACGGAATATAATCTGAAAGAAACTATATTCTGAAAATGATATGAAAGTATGTAATAATATTTAGTTTAGCAATGGATTAGAGCCATAAAATCCACATTACAAGCATGGGGAAGAATATTTTATTAGATATCAAAGCCTTTAATTCTTTTAATATAGAAATATATACTAATAAGTATGAAGAACTATTTTTAACAAGTAATTCTTTTAAATATTTTTAAATTATATTAGATAATAAAAAAATTATATGGATTTTCTCTGATGTTGAAGACGTACTTATATATACAACATGATATAAAGGAACAAAAAAACATCTGCCAGGAAATATTAGTAAATATATTAAATAAATAAATACAGTAATAAATTATTTAATTTTGAAATTAATATATTTTCAATATTTTTTAAGGTTAATTTAATCCTTTCTTTTCCCTAATTTCACATATATTAATCTATTTGCATAAATATTATTATGTATATATATTATATGATAAAACATATATATATACAATCAATTTTAAATTATACTATTTTATAACACATTACTCAGACTACTATTTCTTTAAAATTCATCTTTATTGTTATATCATATTACTGCTAGGAATATAAACAATCTACTTAATTCGATTCGATGTTCCATATATTTATAATGTAAAAAGAAATGTGAATATTTTCCGCATGACATTGAGTATATTTATTCATATATATTGTTAATTATATTATATATATAATTTAATATTTACATTATTGTTAATGCAAATTATTTATGAACTATAAATGTGCCAATTTATTAAAGGACTATAATTAACCATGAAAAGTACTTATTAAATTCATAATAAATTTATTTTATTTAACATCTAAATAAATATTTTAACTATAGTAATAAATATAGATTTATAAAAAATGTTCATTATAGAAAAAAAAAAAACAAAAATACAATTTTATATACATGCATCAATATAAAATTATGAATTTGTAATATATATAATAATAACAACGCAATAGATCATGGGATGTGCTCATTTATTATCTAATATTTTTGTATAATATTATTCAACAAATATCCAAAAAAATAAAAATTTTTAATTATAACATAATTATGAAAAAAACTACATTATATACTGAAATAACAGCATTGTAAGAAAATATGACTATCTTAAAAATTATCAATAATACTTTATAATATATTATAAATAATATGTTTACATATACATATTTAAAATAAAGGGTAAATATAATTAATAATACTTTTAGGTATTCAAATATAAGAAAGAAAAAAAATGTATAACAAAAATATATAACCAATACAGTAAAAATAAAACATTTCATTACATTGTCGGAAAGCAATATATATATATATTACACATAGCAAAATATATACATAGACTTCTATAAAATTTAAAAAAAAAATCATCAATTCCATTGAGATCTATATTAAAATAAAAAAAATTAAAAATTCTAAGTTATAACATTTATAAAAATCAATAAAACCTAAATCTAGAACTAAAAATAAATCATAACCTGAACATTGAACCATAAATTCTATATCCATAAACTCTTAAACTCTGAACCCTAAAAACATAATAGTATATTATGCATGCGTAAATATAGAATATATAAATATATATCAGTTCTGTAATATATGGTGAATTAATCGAATGTTTAGTATAAAATATATTCATAAATGTTGTTTTTTAAAATTAATTAATTATAAATATGAGGTAATTATTATATTAAATATTTATATAATAATATAGAAAAAAAAAAATTAAAAACATAGTAATAAAACATATAATTATAAAATTTATGTTCACATTTTATATATTATTATTATATTCATATGGAAATAATTTACCAAATATTTCAAAACATACATATTGACTATAATATAAATACAAATATAATATATGCATATATTAAAATATAAGAATATATAATAAATAACAAAAATGTGTAGTATTTATTAATATTTTGTAATAATATATATTAATATGTGAAAAAGGACTATATTATATCATTAATAAATATTATTCACATTGTTGAAATATCATACAAATAAATTCACAATTTATATATTAATAAGCTTTCCATATAATTAATAGGGTAATAGAACGTTGAATTAAAGTATAAAATATATATAAAATGTAATACATAAAAATAATAAATCCTAAGATGATAATGAATATATACGATAGCTTATAGATTAAAACCTGAACTGTGAAACCAAAAGCATGAACCTCTAAAAGAAGTAATTTTGTTATGAGGTAGTATTTTTTAATGATATATTTATTCAGTGCAATAAAAAAAAATAGTAATACATGAATAATATTTTAAATAGTTTTTGCTTTGTTTACATGAGATACATATGAAAATTGTTTTGTCTTTTTTAGAAGTATGAATTTATGATTAAATATATATATACCTTATAATTATAAATTACCTTGCATACTTTACCAGCATTAATTCTTATGTAACATTGAATCATAAATACATGGCCTCCACATGCAATTTATGTTCAATATATATTGCTATAATTAATTTTAATACGCGAAATGAATTTTATATATTAGATAAATGAAATAACTAATGTATGTTCAAAAATCAAAAACCCTTAATATATTAAATTCCTATGAGTTTTAATAGAATTATAATGGCAATATTTATAATTTACCAACATAATTTAAAATGGTTTTTATATTCTTAAATAATAATATATCTTTTGTTCAATATTAAATTTATATATATATTAGTTTCTTGTTATTTTGTTTTAAATATATAATTCATTTTTAGCATGTACTCTAAATAACAAATAATATATATTTCAATATATGAAAAAATATTGATATTTAACTTCTACAAAATAATAATATATTTAATATATGTAAATTAATATTTATTATCAATATTCGTTTATTTCAAATATTTACATGTAAGGAAAAGGCATAAATAGGTACTATAAGATAAAATATTGATTACATATATTTATATTTTTCATAGTTTATTATACTGTGTACATAATTTATTGCATGTGTATTTATATATAACAATAATAAAAAAAATGCTTTTTTTCATTTTTTATTTTTATATATTTTCAGAGTTATATATGTTTTTTAAATATTATTTAATAATGAGAATAATATCTTCCATTCTTCAGAACGGACTATAAAATCATATTTTAGTATATAGGAAGAATCAAATAAAAATATAAATTTAAAGAAAGTGTTCAAAATTTATATATTATATATTTATATATATTTTATATATATGTAGTATAATACAATTTCCTACAATCATTTCTAATTACAAAAATGTATACTTTATTTTTTATAGCTTGCATAAAATATCACAATGTCTGCCACAGTAATTACAAAAACAGACATATATTTCTACTATTAATATAAATTAAAATTTTCATTAACCAATTTTATAATATTGATATGTACATAAACATAGGAAAAAATGCCTTTGCATCAATATTATTTTAATCATTTATATGTGTTATAACTTTTTTATAGTTCAATTTTAAGAATATATTTCCCACCTGTTTGGATGATTATAATAATAATATAAGCAATAGCTCAAGGGAAATTAATTCAAAACGTGAAAATGAGTGTATCACTATTACAAATATTTTAGGTTTTCACAATAGCAAGGACACTTTTATGCCAAATTGTAAAGATATTATTATATATTTAGACTATATAGATAATAATTCAAGTTCTTTTGATATAAATCCAAGTTGCAAATATTTCAACTATAAACTAAAAAAATTACTAAGTTCTCATAAATCCAATATCCAAAGCACTAAAGTTTTCTACAATAATATGATTAATATCACGAATTCAAGAATTTATAAGAATGTTCCTGGTATATGCATGAACTATTTTGATGAACTTGATGACAGTACATTTACCATATTAGACAAACTTAATAACCTATATAGTATATTAAAAAGAAATGGTAATGAATGCCCTACTGAGAGTGAATGTTATGAGAAGTTCATGGAACTATCAAATATATATGGTAGGGTAAATAACGAAAGTCTTCGTGAAATACTAAGTAATTTTAGAAAAGAAAATATAAAAATTATAGAAAATATAGAAAACGTGGTACAAGTTAATTCAAAAAAAGAGGTTCATGCAGTTTCACATCACACATCTGGAATTAATGCACGCACTATTATTTTAGTTTTATTTTTTATATCTTTTACTACATTAATGATTGCATACTTTCTTTATAAGGTTAAGAATAAAATTAATCTATTCATAATTGTATTACAGTTTACAATACACGTAATTACTGAAAAATTATATAAGATATCTAATACACCTATAAATATATATATAAAAATTTTCCTAAATTATCAGTATACTTCTTATGTATCTTTTTTACATCCAATATCAAGTATAATAAGGATAATGTGGAATAGAAAAAATAAAACCGATATAAAATTATTTGACTCTTTTGAAAATAATTATGAAGAATTAATTGATAAAAGGTCTCAAATATCATACAATGCATTACAATAGTTCTAAAAAATTCATAGGGGTGGCTAATATCTGAGTGTTTTTGGTTTTAATAATATAATAATTTCTTAAAAATACAATTGTGGACAAAATTACAAAAAAATTAATCATTATAAAAATAAACATATTTTAAATTTATGATAAAATATAAAAAAACATACTGTAATATATTTTCAATTCAAAGTAATAAATGAATACTATATTTTGAACTATCGCTCAAGAATAAACAAGTATATTTACATCTAAAAAAAACATATAATTAGTAAATTATATATGTAATCTTTTATAATTATTAAATATTGTAATAAAATATCCAAGAGAGTGTAAGCTCAATTTTAATAGATTAAAGATTTTTGTAGAATTTCATTTGTAATATATAATAATTGTCTTTTATATCTATAAAAAAAAATAAATTTTATAGTATATTTGCCTTAAATGTGTACAGAGTAATATAATGATAAATAATATGTAGTACAAAACATAATTATAAATGAAATAAATTTATAATCATTATTTAAAGTACATATATTTCTTTATGTATACAATAATATTTTAAGTATCATAGATACTATAATTAAAATATATTATATATTGGCATATATAAATAACAGCAACAAGCCTAAGATACAATTATTCATATATTTATGTAAATTTTTCTAAAATATATATTTAGAATAATTTATTTCTAAACCGAAAAAAAGTAATATAGGTAGTTAAGCAAAGAATTAATATATAATATATGTCAAATAACGTCATTATACACCTTAAATCATAAATGTATTGTAATTACATTGCTATATTCATTAAAAAAGGTATATTACCCACATTATCTGTTTATATTATATAATATATTTTCTTGTTTATATATATTTTTTTTATTTCTAATTACACAAATAAATCATATATTAATAAAAAATAATGCACTTTTAGCAGAACTATTAAAATGTTAGAAATTTTTATTGTTATCTTAATGTTTAATTAAATGTATCTCTTAAAAGTAGTATGCACAAAAATAATATAATACTCCACGCTTTTAATTTGTTTTGTGCATAACAAATGAATTTAGCATATAATCTTTTTTCCTAATTTAAAATATTAGAAAGATAAACATATCTCATAAGGAATACAAAAGTGAGGTATTATAATAAATATAATTACTATATATATTATATAAATATTATACATTTTTGCATATGAAATAAAATATATCATATATATTAAATTTGTTTGTGTTACTTAGTAAATTAAAAGTATATGTTATATATGTTTTGGAAAGAACAATATAACGAGGTGCACTGAAAACTGAACTACATACTGTATATATTTTATGTTAGTATTATATTGTTAAATTATTCTATACGAAATATTTTTTTATAGGACTCATAATATGTATATTTTTTATAAATATTTTTAATAAAATACCATGAAAAATAAAATTTTATTTGAAATAATATATACATGGTGTAAATCAAATATATTGTTTTAATATGCATATACTTTTTTCAAATAAGATAAATTATAATATGCCATTATTTTATTTCAACTTATTAATGTTTCTATTTATTTATATTTTTTTTGATTAATTTATATCTCATCATAAACATTATTAAGTGGAAAAATTACAACTGCTTAATTTTGCATTAGAGGATTTCATTAGATTCAAAATCATAACAATCACATACTTTTTTAATGCATCATATATAAAAAAGTTATAGATTTATATACGTGAATTATGAATAATTTATACGATTCATATTCATGTATAATAATATATTTTTTCCTTAAAATTTATACATTATTATGAAATTTTATTTTTAATGTAAATCATATATTTCTAATATATTATTGAAATTCATGTCTATTACAGATAAATTTTTTTTTCATTATATATCTATATATGACAAATACACATAATATTTATAATATTTGTTTATGTCTCAGCATTTTATTCAACAAGGAAAATATATTTATATAATATATATTTATACTTCATAATTAAATGTATAATTAATAAAAGAGTATAACATACATGTTATTTATATAAAATTTGTTATATAACATTCTAAAATTTTGTATGTACTATAAAATTATTTTCGCATTCATTATTCTCTAGAATTTATGCTTCTATATTTTGTAGTTATTTTATTATAATTAATCCTGCATGACACTCAATATCATTATCTAAGCATGCATTATATTTTTATTAAATCAATAAATTATATATCATAATATTATAAAAGCGATAAAAAAAAATTTCTTTCATATATTTTAATGTTATATTTATATATAATTCATTATAATTTATGTATATATAAAGTATTCATAGGTTTACTTAAACGAAATAATTTCCTTTCTTTTAAGTTTATATAATTATATTTACGCTCAGATATAAAATTGCTATAAAAATGTATAATTGAAGAATGCCCATTATTCTTTGACAATTTTATATATATCTAATAATCTGTATGATTTTTTTTTTTTATACATATAATATTTTTTTATGTAATATCATTACAGACTAAAAGCATTAATTTAAGAATACAATAAATTCCTTTGTTTTTTTCATTCTGAATTTTAATTTTTTTTCAGCAAGCAAAATTTTGTAATATTATTTATTTATATCTTTTTTTAATCATTATTGCAATTATAATTTTATTTATATTGAATAACTAAGTAATCTCAATTTGTAAAAAATAAAGTAATACATATATATTTATATATTATTAAAGAGTTATAAATGTAAAATTATCATATATATTCAATTTTAAATTTTATCTAGCTTAACTATTAACAATATCATTTAATAATTACATCATATTACAATTCCTGATATTATTTAATATTGAATATAAATTATATATAATTTAAGAATAAATAGATAATATAGAAAAATGATATACATTATAAAAATATAATTCATCTTTATGCAGATAATATTATTTATAAACTATATTTTTAGTATATATGTTAATATATGCTTAATTTAATTATTTTGATACTATGATCTACAATTCTTTGGATTATTCATAACATCAACTCTTCGTGGAAATTGCTGATTTTCATTCTGAATCATATAATTATATTTAGCTAAAAATATGTTCTTAGGATTTATTTAAATTAAATTACATTCATTATGCAATTTATTAATTTACTTTTAAAAATAATTATATATACGGCAAAAATAACTGTTAATGTTACCCCATAAAATTACTAGCAAATATTAGAAGCTATTTATATATTTTTTGTCCTATATACATTATATATGAATTACCATACACATTATCATTATTTGTATAAATATATATCAAATAATATGTCCTCTATTTCTTCAAATAGAATTAATACATAAAAAATAACTTCAATGAAATTCAAATATATGAATCATAGGAATTTCTATAATTCGCACGATATTTGTCTGTCTGTATATTATAATATATAACATAAGAATAAATTTATGTCTATTAATAATACTTGTATATTTTTGATGTTTTCCTGTTATATAAAATTTAATGATTTATTTCCATACTGCATAAATATTATCAACATATAGATATTTTTATTGCATAACTATATATGTTTACATTAAGACATGAATGAACAATATTTATTTGTATGTATGCTATTAATAATATAACTCTATATTGAAATTATGATATACAATGGATGAGATATAATGTTTACGTAGAACATCTTTTTATTCTTTTTGATTTGATAAAAAATCTTTGAATTTAACAATATATAAAGAGATTTGTAGGAATAATTTGCATTATAATGGATCTGTTGGTTTGAAATAAAAAATAAGTGTAATACTTAGTGTAATATCATAATAACAGCTATAATTAAATTTAATGTTAAATTTATTGCAATGAACATATTAGAAACCATATATATAGGATGAAATTATATTTACCTAGTAAATGACTGTTAATTTTTATTATATGCTATTGTATGAAATATAATTTTTTTTCCTTTATCTATATGCATTAATTTATAAATGTGTTCTTATTTTCATATTATAGATATTCTTATAATAATGGGTTTCATAGATGATATTTTTACATGGAATGCTAATTTTAGGAATTAAGTTTTATGTATAGTAAAATTTTATTTTATTAAATTAGGTAGTATACATGATATGCTTTACATATTCTTACCTATATATTTTACTTGGAACAACATAATAATAATTCTAACTAAGAAAAATGTTGCGAAACTTTATATGATTAATCAAAACTACTTATAACATATATATAATATATGAATATAAGTGAGTACAACTCAATTTAAAAAAAAAAATAACATTGAATAAATAAAAATAAATGATATATTAGCACTAATGTCATTCCACTTATCCCCCAGAACGCACATTATATAAAATTCCACACATAAATGTCATAAGTACATGGAAGAATAATATACTCTGTTATAAAATATTAAATGAATATTATATAAATCGTTCTAACTAAAAATCAATTTTCATAAATTTTACATGATGATTGAACATAGATTTTCTTAGAATGCTGTATAATATAGCACCCTGATTTGTAAATGTCTTGTTTTAATTGCGTTAAATTATTATATTCATGAGATATCGCTTAATAGGCAATAAAAATTTTATTCATGTGAAATATAGAATATAAAAATAAATAAATTTATGAAATGTGTGAGTTTTATATTTATTCACTCTTCATAAACTAAATAATATATTTAACATTCTGTATTAATACTATTGAAGCATTATTATATTAAAATTATCTATTATTCTATATCATTATTATTGTATTATATGCAATATTTCATTTTTATATAAATATATTAATAGAACTAACCATAAAAATATATATATTCTTCCTTTTATATACAATTTAAGTGAGATATATACAGGTAATTATATATTTAATGGTATAACTAAGCAGCATTATATGAAACATTATATCTCGTATTCTATAAAATATTACCATATGTTTCAGGTAAATGCATTATTTCCCATTATTCTTCAGTAA